GTGACTTACCTGGCTCCTGACTTCAGCAATCACCTCGGCTACCCAACTGTTCTGTGGACTGGCGACACCGACGCGTTACAGTTCTGTTTCGTTATTTGTTTTCCTTCATAAACTGTTGACCATCCCTGGGACTTACCTGACAGACAGCCGCACCTATTCCCGGGCTCCGGCACCGGGAGTAGAAAGCAAGGGCCTGTCGGCGAACCCTGTGGGACAACAGGTCCCCCCGTTGTGTGTTGTTAACTGTAACTGAAGACTCCGTACCTGCGCTCTACCAAGCGTAAGTTAATAAACCTATTCAATTAAGGGACATCCAGCTTCCATGTCACTCAGAACTCCACTGCTGCTAGACCCAGCCTGTTCGTTCGGGTTCCACCGTGACACTTGGGATCTTTTCTCTGGGGAGGGAAACCCAGCACTCTGCATTGGTGTGTAGCAGAAGTCCTAATTTAGTTCCTTATTCATAAGAAGTTTGTTACCATTTCTCAGTGTTTTAGCTTGTTTATCTTGCTCACAGATCAACATTTTCTGCGTGTAATCATTTTCAGGGTAGTCATTTTCCTCTGCTTGTTTGGGGCTTTTGTGCAGCCTTAGGGTAGAGAAAAGCATTTGTCTGTGGCTGTAAAATCACAGAAACTGGCAGGAAAATTCAGAGGCAGTTGGAACTATTTCTCAAACTCACGTTTAAGATTGAGTGGATTTCAGGCTGACAGTGGCCCTTTAACATGCAGTTGAGAAATTAAAGACCCCCTCAAATAACTTGTAGGCTATTTTACTTCCTCTCTTCCCACAATACAAGGTCCTCACAGATGCATAAGTATTAATATCTTATAAATATTATATAAAAATCACATGAATTAGGCAGTGTTATCTAAAACAATTTATTTAGATTTAATGCATATAGTTTCTTAAGAAGAAAGTAATTATGGGTACTGATGAGTTACCTACTGTTATTCACCTGTTTTTGTTAGTCTATTGTTAGCAATCACTTTGGCGCTATGGAACATGAGGCAGAGCAGAACTTTCAAAATCAACATGTAGGAGTCCAAATCAAGTACTGAATTCACAAGCCCATTCAAAGTTGTCAAGAAGGGACCACGCAAAATATTCTTTAAAATAGACATTGTCAGGAGAAATGATTGGAATTAAAATGCGATATATTGTTTCAAATGTAACACAGGTACTATTTTGGTTAACAATTTTCTGTTGCAGTTTTAGAGAGTTTTTATGTTTCACCTTTTGACAGCTTTGAAAGTTCTACTATGGGAAAAATAATACAGATGTTTACATTCTGACAACACACAGTAAGATATGCTCTTTGTTAAGAGAACTACTTTTTCCAATTTATCTGGTCAGTTAGGTAAAAATTAAGACAAATTAGTAGATCTAAGTATGACAATGCATAACTTTTCAAAGTTTGGTCTTATATTTTGCTCTCAGTATCAACACTTTCAAAGACACTATGGGCTAGAGAGCCATAAATACCACTTTAGGCACCTAGGATACCTATACACAAACATCTAGGCTGGTCCGATGCACTGAAATTACAGTGCATCGGAACAAACTCAAGACTTAATTGAGTCTGCCCGAGCGTGATAATTACCGCACTCCAGCAGCCTCAGTGCCTTGTGTATCAGTATCACTGTGCTTAAAAATGGTGATGGGGCACTTTAACTAAAGTTTGTTCAACGAGCTTTAATAAAGTGCCCACACCACCATTTTTAAGTGCTGGGACATTTGATACACAAGACCCCCTGGGCACTTTAATTAGAGCAGATCTTGGAGCCACTCTAAATCAAGCCCCCCCCCCCATTCCCAGGGCATGTGTATAAATGCCCCTAGGTTCTTCCCAAAAAAGTTCTCTAGGCTAAATGTTTGCTGCTGGGCATGCCCATAATCACCTAAGTCTTGACTTGGCCCAGAACCTAGGAACCTAGCTGTTGCCTAAATCCTACTGGATTCACTCACACTGAAGGAGTCTCACCTGAAGGGATAAAGCATCCAGAACATGATTACTGGATTAGGCCTCAGTCAATTCCTGATTCCAGTGAATCCAGATCTTCTAGTGGAGGGTTCTAACCACTAGTAGTAACACCTGTTCCTCCTCTTCACTGTACTTTGTGAGAAAAGGAAAGGAAAGCTTACTCGAGCCTGGGTAAGCTTTTTGAGAGGATTATCCTAGCGCATGTCCATGAGGGGCCAGCAGGGGAGATTATGCTTAGGGCCAACCAACACGGCTTCATTAGAGGCAGGTCCTGTCAGACCAACCTGGTGGCCTTCTACGACCAGGTCACCAAATCCTTAGATGCAGGGGTAGCAGTGGACGTAGTCTTCCAGGACTTTTGGAAGGCCTTCAACACTGTCTCTCACCCCGTTCTCATTAAAAAACTAGGGGACTGTGGCACTGACACCTGCACAGTCAAAAGGGTCACTATCTGGCTGGAGGGTCGCATCCAGAGAGTGGTAGTGGATGGGTCATTTTTGACCTGGAGGGATGTGGGCACTGGGGTCCCCTAGGGCTCAGTCCTCGGGCCCGCACTGTTCAACATCTTCATCAGCAACTAGGACAAGGGGGTAAAAAGCACCCTGTTCAAATTCGCAGACAACACTAAGATGTGGGCATGCTAGAAGGGAGGAATAGGCTGCAATCAGACCTAGACAGGTTACAGGGGTGGGCAGATGAGAACAGGGTGGGTTTCAACACTGACAAGTGCAAGGTACTGCACCTGGGGGGGAAGAACCAGCACCATACCTACAGGCTGGGGAACTCCCTTCTCATCAGTGCAGAGGCAGAAAAGGATCTTGGAGTCATTATTGATACCAAAATGAATGGGCAGACAGTGTGGGGATGTGGTCAGGAAGGCTAACCATACTTTGTCATGCATCCACATATGCATCTCGAGCAAATCCAAGGAGGTGATCCTCCCCCTCTCTGCAACGCTGGTCAGGCCGCAGCTGGAGTACTGCATCCAGTTCTGGGCACCGCACTTCAGGAGGGATGTGGACAACATGGAGAGGGTCCAGAGGAGGGCCACTCGCATGATCAGGGGGCAGCAGGGCAGGCCC